AAAAAAAATCTGCCAACTATTAATGTTATTTCTTACTTTAAAAAAGAACTTAAACAAAACAAATGAAAAAGGCATAACACCAAAAAAGGCCAACATTTTAAAATGAAAAACTGAGATTCCTAACTTTATTTATTTTACCACAGATGGGTAAAAACCTTAAATACATTGATACTAGTCCAAGGATATATGACAAGAAAGCAATAGCTGACTACTGCAAAAGCTTCCTTTGTCTCCTGGTTTCTTTACATGGTTACCTTCCATCAACCTCTATGAGGGGTCACAAACTATAGGCCACAGGCCAAATCCAGTCTGCCTTATGGTTTTATAAATAAAGTTTTATTGGATCTCAGTCATGCCTATTTGCTTACATATTATCCATAGTTGCTTTCACACTACAACAGCAGGGTTAAGTAGGTATGACAGAGATCACATAGTCTAAAATATTTCCCACCTAGTCCTTTACAGAAAAAGCTTGACAACCCCTGTTTTACACCATAGCCAGAATGCCTTAACACTCCAATTTAATCTTCTGACTCCCCTGCTCAAATTTCTCCAATGAGTCCCTGCAACAACCATTGCTGGCTCCCTACCAATAGCCATTCCTAATTCTTTCTTGCAGAAGAAACACAAAGCTATTGGGATACTTACTATCCCAATATTCCTCCCCAGCTTCAGAAGGAGAAATGATTATTCTAAGCTAGTCACAAAATTACATTTGCTTTCCCAGTGCCCGGTTTGGGGATGGGCATGTGGTGTGACCCAGCCAATGAAATGTTACAGGAAGCCCCTTGTGTGCTTCTAAGTTTTCTCCCTATTTAAAGAAACACATGAAGAAAAGCAGCCCTTGCAACGTTGTGTTCTGAGAATAAGATGCCTGGAGCTGATGCAGATTAGTCAACTGTGAAAGGAGACATGAACAAGACACTGCCAACAGCACAGCTGAAAGAGGGACAAGTGGGATTCTAGGATATCACTGAACAACCAAAACAACTCTGGTTCCTACAGTTTTAGCCACTCCTCATCTAGTATTTGCAGTCCAAAACATTCTACCTGGTAAATTTCCCATGGCCCATGGGATAAGAGCTACTAATTTCTATAGTATTAAAAATTCTATCATAAACTTGCCTTAGCTTAGTATTCACCTCATTCCCAACCTCTTGTATCTCACACTTTTTGTACTAGCAAAAGTGAACTGCTCATAAACTCTGCAAAGTTCACTCAAGCATCTTGCTTTTGCACTTGCTGCTCTTCCTCCCATACAGGTAATCTCGTTAGATGTTCCTTCTGCCAAACACACCATTTCGTTACATGTTCATTCTGCCAAACATCATTCTTCTGCTACTTTACCTAGAAAAATTCTACTCACTCTGCATGCTCACCTTAAATCCTACCTACTTTTTTTTAAAGCTTTCATTCCTCATCACATATGTCTGGCACATAATCAATATAATATATAAACCATAAATATAAACTTCCAGTGGCCATCTAGCACACAGTAAGGACTGAATAAAGTAGCAAAATAATAAAAATGACAATGATAATAACAAGCTCCTGTCTGTATTTTTAAATGTGTTCTGTAGCATTAGAAAAATGCTTCGTATCTAAAAGACATCTGACAGTTATTTGTTAAGTAGACAGGTGAAAACAGAAATACAAATGTTTTCTTTGTAAATTCTGTTGAAAAAGCACAGAAATGAAATAGAGACAGCTCTATTCTATTATGAGCACCTTAAAGATCAAAACTACATCTATTCCATCTTTGTCTCCTGCAACATACAAAATCTAACTTACAGAAGCTCTTTGATAAACATATGGCTAAATTAAAGGTGTCCTCACACAGTTTGAATTGTACAATATACTAGGTGTCCACATCCAGGTAGCATACTGGCATTTTTGTTATTGTGAAACATTTTTGTACTTTTATTATAATCTGCTGAGCCTAGAGTTGGGCAATTTGTATATTTATTATGACAATCTTTTGGCAAATGGTAGCAGAGCATCTTGTTTTAACAAAATTACTGTTACCACGACAATTAACCAGCAGGTAGAAGAACACATCTTGTTCCAACAAAGCAAATATACCTCTTTGAATTTCAAATTTAGAGGAATAAAGTCAGTAACAGTGAGCCTTGCTGGTACAAGCATATGTAACACGATCTGTGCTTCGCTGTTCATCATCAAAACTTCCTTACTTTTACTTTTTCATCTATGGTAGGACTACCCAGAGCAGGCATCCACAACTCCCAAGCCACAGACTGGTAGCAGTTCATGGCCTTTTTGGAACCACGCCACACACAACGTGAGTATTAGGCAAGCTAGAGAAGCTTCATCTGTATTATAGCCATGCCCCGTGGCTCATATTACCACCTAAGCTCCGCCTCCTGTCAGATCACTGGTAGCATTAGATACTCATGGAAGCATGAACCCTGTTGTGAACTGCCCATGTGAGGGATCTAGGTTGTGTGCTTCTTATGAGAATCTAATGCCTGATAGTCTGTCACTGTCTCCCTTTGCCCCCAGATGGGACCATTTAGTTGCAGGAAAACAAGCTCAGAGCTTCCACCCATTCTACATTACGGTAAGTTGTATAATTATTTCATTATATATTACAATGTAATAATAATATAAAGTAGCACAATAAATGCAATGTGCTTGAATAATTCTGAAACCATCTGCACCTTCCCCTAGTCCATGGAAATACTGTCTTCCACAAAACCGATCCCTGGTGCCAAAAAAGCAAAAAGGCTGGGGACAACTGACCTAAAGTAATTCACTATCAGAAGTCTTACCTGGATTGCTGTTTTCAGAACATTTTTTTGGCATCTGTTTTTCTTTATAGTCAGAAAGTAATTGGCAAATTCTATGTATAAAAATGTAATAAATAAAATCACTATTTTAATACTGACATGAAAAATACTTACAAAATGCAAAATTCTTAGAGTATTTCAAACAATATCAGACTATCAGAAAACAATATCATCCCATCTACTTTTGTGTACATCCTACAAACTTTTCATTAAGCTTCTAAATAAAAAAGAAAAAAAGTAAGGTGAAATACTCATAAATCAAGGCCACTAAGACTCAGTAAATTAACTTGCATTCGCTTAACATAATAGAAAGTCCCAACTCTGAAGAAGTCCTAGCTCCATAATGAAGAGCTATTTGTTCTTGGAAAATTTACTTCTTTTAGGCTCAATGTCTTCTACAAAGCGAGGACTTTGCTGCCTTATTTCACTAAGCTATAAAGATTTAACAAGATAAAATTTTTAAATGCTCACAGAAATAGTAAAGCAATGGAATAATCTGTTCCTAAACTTTATGACCGAAATTATCTTCGAATCCCAAATAAAACCCAATGTGTAGCTAGGCGCAGTGGCTCATGCCTGTAATCCCAGCACTTTGGGAGGCCGAGGCAGGCAGATCACGAGGTCAAGAGATTTAGACCATCCTGGCCAACATGGTGAAACCCCATCTCTACTAAAAATTCAAAAAATAAAGTGGGCGTGATGGTACACGCCTGCAGTCCCAGCTACTTCGGAGGCTGAGCCAGGAGAATCACCTAAACCCGGGAGATGGAGGTTACAATGAGCCAAGATTGCGCCACTGCACTCCAGCCTGGCAACAGAGCAAGACTCAGTCTAAAAAAAAAAAAAAAAAAAAAACCCAAAGTGTATTGTGTTCATAGGTCCTAATACGCAAATGTTGTAGCTTTCAGGAAATGTTATTAATTTTGATTATTAGTTGTCCTACTCTTTATGGCTTATAATTCAGAGCATCTCAACTATTTCACAGTTTATAACTAAATTTATTCATAAATATCTCATTAAAGTAGGTAACATGATTGTCCACGATTATGGAGTTTATCAATCACACCAAGAGCAGAAAAACCAATGGATGAATGTCAAGACCTGGCTTGGACCAATGATCCTTCTCTACAGACTCACACTCTGAGCCAGCAGATGTTTGTTAAGATAATGCTTCATATCCATGTTCATCTCCAGCGGACATGGGAGACCAAAACCCTGCTTTTATTTGTTTTAGGTTCCATGAAGAAGTTGCAAATTGACATTCTCTAATTTTTGAATACATACTAACAATATATTTTGCACACAACACTCTACACATTATTCAGCTCTGGGAACATCTCATAGGCCACCTTACATGAATATTTTTATAGCAAAACTCACAATTTCAATACTCAGATGGCACCCATTTTGCTTTGATTCACACTGTTTCCTTAGAGTTAGTCAGCAAATAGTCAAGTGACCTTCCAGTGACTGTGCAAAATATGGAATGCTTCAAAAATTTGTGCAGCCTGCCTATTCAGGGGCCATGCTAATTTTCTCTGTATTGCTCCAATTTTAGGATATGTGCAGCCAAAGCAAGCACAAAGCCCTACTTTTACACATGGACAGCGATGAGTCATGAACACGGTTTAGCTCTAAGTCCAACTAACCTACTTGAGATCTCAAGAATTATCTTCAATGGCTTCCTGTGAGGTAGAATTTGAAAATATTTTTAAATATTGAGGAAGAGATGTAATTAACTTGGGAAATTTTCATTATCATGGAAAACAGATCACTCAAGGGGCCAACCACAACTGGGTGCCCACTGCTCTAGGGAAGGTTAACATGGGACTTTCTACTGCCTAAGGTACTATACAGGATATAAAGGTGCCTCAGGGTACATATCTGGTAGCAAAGAAGAAGAAACAAACACTGATCTCTTTCTGCCACATTATTTGAACCTCTTTGACAGTTTGGAACAAGCCCAACTAATATCTGCTAGAGAAAAGACCAACACAGGACTCAAAGGATCTCTTAACATGAAGTTCTCAGTTAAGTCTAGGATAAGATGTGGGTTCCACATCAGGTTTTGAATGTGGGGGGAATGGTCAATTTGCTCACTTTGCATGCAGATAAAGCCAGGATGTCAAGCTGCCAGAGCAGGGTGCTGGTGCTTTGGGAACAATGACTGAGCACACAAGCACAGGTATGTGAAGTAAAGAACGTTGTAACTTTGAAGTCTATGTATGGATCACCATGAAGACTTGAGGGATCTCAATCAGTAAGGGCATGTTGGTGTCAAAGGTCAACCATTACCAGGCAGCAGGACCAGTTTCAGTGGCAACAATGCAGCAACAGAATCAATGGAAACAACAGAATGATTAAAATGTCCTTTTTTCCTCCTCCTTCTGACTTGATAAAAAGGATTGTCTTCCTTGGACAAATTCAAGGAGTACATAGGAGACAGTCCCCAGAAAACAATACAAGACTTTCTACTAAACTAGACATTTAAAGACCCAAATAACTAATCAGAAAAATCAAAGATGTGATTCTACTTTTTATCCAATGCATAGGTGTTATACTTGGAATGAAATGAACAACGTTGGGATCTCTAAGGATAAAGGTCTTAAAAGTCCTGAGGTAAAGAATCCTGCACCCATTGGCACCTTCTAACTAGTCTAGCTTTTTGTTCGATTTCCAGCTGATGCAGTGGACTAACTCATGGCCACTCTAAAACTACCTAAACCAAACTATGACATCTCACCTGATATCCAAGATACAAAAGTTAAAATTATTTTAAACCTCGATTTAGTGTTAACTAGCCTTTTAATGTAAATACTTACATATTATGATGACTAGAAATAGCGTAATCTTCAGCAGTCCACCGAGATACATCTTGAGAAAATACATCAATATTTTGCTGAAGCAGAAGGCTAACCATACTTGCTGATCCACAACGTACAGCAAGTATAAGAGCAGTTCTAAAATGACAGATAATTTGTCCCTTAGGAACCTTAATAAAGTTATTTTAAAAGCTAATTTGATATACTTTCCCAATTTAATATCTTGCCTGTCCATGAAGAATTAAACATTTACATGTACTAAAAAACATAAGCATCTTGGGTGCTTAAGTGTTCATCTTTGTAAAATACCACCAAGGTTAAAAGAAAGGGACAAAAAGGAATCCTCTTATCTCAGTGGGGTACTGAATAGTAGAAGCTACTAATTTAAAGGACTTTGATGGGCAAGAAATTATGCTAGGGCTGCTTATCTGAAGTGGACAAAGATTTAACTGAAGATTTCTTCCCAGCTTCCCTAGACTGATATGCCATAATAGAAAATCAGCTAAATAGGAGCTATCTGCAGGCTGAAAGCAGTAATATTAATAATAATAGTAAGAATAGTAGTTATAGTAGCTTCAGTTAATGATGCCAATAAGCATGTGCTAGGCACTGAATTAAATGCCATATATGTCTTTCTTTGAAGGATATATTCTCCTTCTTTTCATATATGACAACATATGTGGTAGTAAATAACGTTCCCAAGGTCACACACCTAGCAAGTAAGAAACCTAGGAACTAAATCCAGTTTTGTGTGAATCTAAAGTCTAGCTCTTTTCTCTTTATCACCCACCTACAGCTTGCCTTCATTAAAGGAAGTGTATGTTATCCACTTAAAGCTATCTTCACTCCCTCTCTCCATACCAATTAAAAATAAAAACATCAAAATACACTGGAAATAAAGAAGGAAAAAAAGCTAATGAACCCACAGTATTTGGGAATAGCAATTAATCATCATGTAGGGATAAGCTAACATTAATATTCTTTAAAGAAAGTAACTTAAAGCAGTCATTCAAAAGACAAAATGATTTTCAACTCCTGTTTATGTTTAATATAGCATATTTAATGGAAAAGCATATAAGAAGCAGAGGTTAAAAACTATAGAAAGGGTTAAGAAGTTCAATACTGAGTCATAAACTAAAAGCTAAAGTTCGCACTTCATGAAACTAATATGAAATCCCTTTAGCTAACATAAGATCATATAACCGAAAACATCACATAACAAATAACATCAGTCAATATAATAAAAGAAGATGAATCCTACTAAAACTGTTCTTTATGTTGCCTAGTCCAAATGACTGCATTTCTCCTTAACTGATTTGTGTTGATACCGATCACCATGTTCTAATAAGTATAAGTTAATTTTATTAATTTAATGTTTATGACTTGAGTGACTGTTACCACTCCAGAACAATACAGAGATAAAATAACTATACCTTCCAAACCTATCAAGTGCATTTAAATTAGCTTTTTTCTTGATTAAAAATTCCACCATTTGCTGTTTCTGTCCATGTACACCGAGTAAAAGTGGTGTGAGGCCACCCTGTAAAACAATATTAACGCAAAAACAATATGTAATTCAAAAAAATTACCAATTTCTCAAATGAACTGGAAACTTTATATAAGATCCTATGAACTTACACTCACAGAAAGTAAATAAAATATAGTTGTCTCCTTCTCACTCTTCTGTGCTTTCCCACACACTCACTACTCCTTCTCTTGGAAACACCCCTCCTCTGCCTCACATTAACTCTGGTCATCTTGAAAACTCACTTTAAACATTTACTGTTTCCAAGATTCTTTGCTTCTGTCCCAGCATTTGACATGGTATTACTGGATAATTTTTCCCATCTAAACAAAAAGCTTCTTGAGGGCAGGGGCTGTATATTTTATCTCTATATTCTCAAACCCTATGACAAATCATTGTGTATAAAGCAAGAATTTGCATGTAAAATATTTCTTTAGATTCAGATGTTTTACCAAAAGATCAAGCTCTGACGTGCAATAAAGCTTGCTATTAAGACTCATACTGCCCATTTCAAGAATTTTTCCAACATTTATTCATTTAAAATCTATTTGTATATAATTTTCCCAGATTGTTAACTAAATAATGAGTTCATAGTACTGCCGAAACTAAATTAACAGAATTCCTATCTGTATTCTTAATAATTCCATGGTTTTTAGTGTTTAAAACTGCCATCCTGATTATGCCAAAGCTCTACAAACTTAAGAGACACACTTGATAGTCCATAATACAGCTTCAATTGACAAAAAGGGTAATTTGCTACAATACTAATTGAGAAAACTCTGCTCTTAAAAATGATTTACTGATCTAAGCACTTAAATGATAACAAAGAGACATAAAATCCTGAGAAACCCAATCTGTACTTACTGAAAGACTACTCACTGAAAATTTCTAAAGACCTTCTGAATGGCATTGAATAACTGATGGTAGGAAGGAAAAGGTATTATTCTGTAAGCTGATAGATACTGCCAATAATATTCATTTTAATGTCCCAATCACAGAGATAAAAGTCAAATTAGGCCAGGCATGGTGTCAGACCTGTAATCCTAGCATTTTGAGAGGCTGAGGTGGATGAATTGCTTGAGCCCAGGAGTTCAAGACCAGCCTGGGAAACATGGCAAAAACCCCATCTCTTCTTTAAAAAAAAAAAAAAAACTGAGGTGGGAGGACCACCTGAGCTTGGGGAGGTTGAGGCTGCAGTGAGCTGTGATCACACCACTGCATTCCAGCCTGGAAAACAGAGTGAGACCCTGTGTCAAAAAAAAGTCAGACTAACATTATTGGAAAGGAAAGATGTAAAGGAATTAGCACATATCCAACTCCAACTCTTCTAGAGATATATTAAGTTTCTGAGATATGAGAATTTACCTATTACCCTTATCTATTCAGTGATTCTTAAGCAGAAGCGTACACGGATTTTGAGGAATCTGTTGTTGTTGTTGTTGTTGTTGTTGTTGTTGTTGTTGTTGTAGACAGGGTCTCATTATGTTGCCCAGGCTAGACTCGAACTCCTGACCTCAAGCAATCCTCCCACCTCAGCCTCCCTAGCAGCTGGGATTATAGCCATGCACCACCATGCCTGGCTTCAAGGAAACTTTTTTTTTTTTTTTTTGAGACTGAGTCTCGATCTGTCACCAGGCTGGAGTGTAGTGGCACAATCTCGGCTTACTGCAACCTCTGCCTCCCGGGTTCAAGCGATTCTCCTGCCTCAGCCTCCTGAGTAGATAGGACTACAGGCACGTGCCATCACGCCCAGCTAATTTTTGTATTTTTAGTAGAGACGGGGTTTCACCATGTCGGCCAGGATGGTCTCGATCTCCTGATCTTGTGATCCACCTGCCTTGGCCTCCCAAAGTGCTGCGATTAAAGGCAGGAGCCACTGCACCTGGCCTCAAGGAAACATTTGTAAACATATGCTATCAAAATCTTCAGGGTAGAACCTAGACTTGCAGATTATTTAAAAATTTTTCTCAGGTTACTCTAATTCACAATTCTAGCTGAAAACTAGTGCAATGGACAATTACTTCAGTCTCATCTCTCACCCACATGACCAATTCCCTTTATCATTTGAGCATTTGGCCAAAAAGAGGAAAGAACGAGAGAGAGACTCGTTTGCTGAAAACACCACTTAATTTTCCTGGGTAGGGGTAGAACAGGGTGTAGTAAACTCAAAATCCAACTTCATCTTGTTACTTATAAGCTTCTTATCCTCCACGTTCCCATCAGGACATTCTAGATTTGAAAGCAGAGTTGAGACTCTTATCTAAGCGGCCATTTCTACCAGAATAGGATAATAAGTCAGTGAATTACTCGTTATTCCCTCTGCTCAAGGGTTTCCCACGATATCACCACCTATTCACAGCCAATCTGGTTCCTCAGAGGCCTCCTAAAATTGATCAGTTTACAACTCACTAACTCCCTCTCCCAAATTGAAAACCTGTCATTCTCTAAAACTGAAGAGAACCTTGTCTCACCATACAAAGGGAACAAATGAATGCACAACAACAACAAAAAACATACACATAAAACCTCTTCATGATCTTTTCTCTCCATTACCTAATATCCAAATTGGCCTCTATATTTCTGATTGCTCTCCTTTTCCCTTTCCATTTCTGCCTTATGAGCAAGCAGAAATATCTTAAGCCTTGCCACTGAGAGATACGTCACTTCATATCTATTACTGTTTTTTTTTTTGTTTTTTTTTTTTAGGAGCTTGCCAAAGCAGCAAGATTTCTATTCACTGAAGCATGTTTTAGTTTTCTTGGAGTTTTAATGTAAAACCTATTTCCAGGGCAAATTTTGACATTTTACATTGTTTGGAGGGGGGGGAACTGGGAGGGAAAATTGAAAAAAAAGTAAGTCTTACCTTTTACAAATTCAGAGTTTTCAAAAAAAAAATTTACCGCAAGTGCATAAAAAATGCTGTATCCTCTAATGTGTCTTTAAAAGTGACAATATTTAAAATAAAGTCTTAGATAATTAAGTCATTTCAAAATATTTTCATTCAGGTTATGCTTGAGCTTCCAAATATGGAAAACTGGCCCTTACACAAGTCAATGTTAAAATAAACGCATTGGATATTTTGAAAATAAAATTAGATCTATACCTTGTTTTTTGATTCGATATCAGCATTGTATAAAAGCAGTGTTTTGGCCATTAATCTATCTTCACTGTAGACAGCATAGTGTAGGGCAGTATTGCCATACAGATCCGGAAGATTTGGATCAATATCATGTTGTAGCAAAAGTATCGCACATCGTACAGCCTGTCAATGTTAGACCAAAAACAAATTATAAATCCTAGGAATTCAAGATAAACATTCCACAGCTTTCATCAATAAGTTATATTTAAATGAGAAAACTCATTTTTATTCTATGTATTGAAATCAAATCCATATCATGCTGATATAGTTGGCTACTGCATACCTGTGTTAGAGCTGTCCTCTTTTTGCTGTCAAAGACACGAAGTTGACATTTTCTATCCAGCAGGAGTTTTCCTACTTCTGAATTCCCACAGGCCAAATGTAGAGCAGTCCTATGAGAGTGAGAAGATGTTTTAGCAAATTGTAGTGTACTATCTAAAGCTGCATCAATGATTCATGTAATTGCAAACATTGAATAACATGCTATCCCTCTGCCTTCAAAACAAACAGTTAATTTTCCTGTAAAGAAAGCACACTATTAATTACCTCTCATTTCTCACTGTATTAATGAAATAGCAGCCTATCTGAAAAGAAAGAGCATAGCCCTTTGTTTACATTAAATTTGGGCTGGAATCCTGCTCTGAGCTTTGTCACTTCCTAGCTGTTGCTTAGCCTTTTTGTGTCTCAATTTCCTCATCTATAAAATGGGAATGAAAATAGTAGCTTTCTCACAGGAAACCACTGTAATGCTTAAATGAGACTCTACACAAAATATATAGAAGAGTTCCTAACTCAAATAACAGCTCAATAATTGTTAGATATTTTTACTAATACTACTAAAGATAACATTTGAATTAAGTGAGATAATACAATTATATCTACACTTTGAGGTATGTTTTAAAGATTACAGTTTACATTGTATTTTGATGATTATAAGAGGCTGTCTTCATGTTTTGACATTCCTTACATTGTAGTACCACTTGTAATTCATGACTTACTGTAACTATAATTGGTAGCATTTAAATAATTCTCTTATTGAGACATACAATAATGGGGCATCATACAATCCATGGTGGCTTACATTAAGTAGAATATGGTATGTGTAACGGTTCTGGGGCAATTCTAACCAGATGATTGGCATTTGATAAATTTTAGTTCTTAAAAGTACTATGGAATAAGAGGGATAAGGCAAAAACAGCAAATGTCAAAACTAATTTTTACTTTAATTTTCAAAAAACTTTAAGCCAAAGGAAACTTGGGGTTCAAATGAATAGGTATGGCTCATTTTTTCAATACTTAGATTTATAGAATATATGTAAATCAGATATTTCCAATGATAAATATTAGGATTTGAAACATAAATTTTCTTTTTTAATGAATTTATGAAACTATTTGTGGAGTTTTTTTCAACTTTCACACTCAGGGGTATACTGCAGGATGTTACATAGGTAAATTGGTAAATATACATAGGTATATTGCAGGTTTGTTACATAGGTAAATGTATGCCAAGAGGGTTGATAGTACAAATTATTTCATCACCCAGGTATTAAGCCCAGTACCCATTAGTTATATTTCCTGCTTCTCTCCCTCCTCCCTCCAATAGGCCCCAGTGTGTGTTGCTCCCCTCTAGGTACCTGTGTGTTCTCATCATTTAGCTCCCCCTTATAAGTGAGTACATGCAGTATTTGGTTTTCTGTTCCTAAGTTAGTATGCTAATGATAATGGCCTCCAACACCATGTCCATGCAAAGGCTACGCTCTCATTTTTTCTTATGGCTGCATAGTATTCCATGGTGTTTATGTACCACATTTTAGTTCTTAAAAGTACTAAAACAGTCTTTATCCAAGACTGTTATAAATTTCAAAAGGGCAGTTAAAGGTTATTTTTTACTATTTTCTACCTTCAGAATGCTATTGTTTGAAAGGAGGTAGGAAAAGCTTCAGTTGAGATTAAGTCCTATTACTCTAATTTTAAATCTCTCACCTTGCTCAAGCTGGGCAGGTAAATATGAAGTTTTCAAAGATGGAAGGATACTGCAAGATAGTAGACTATGCCTGCCACATTATAGGTAGCTGGCTTATATTTGATGAATAAATGGATTGAAAGAATGGATAAACACAGCTGGGGAGTTCAATCCCTTTTTTTTTTTTTTTTTTTTTTTTGAGACACAGTCTCACTCTTATTGCCCAGGCTGGAGTGCAAAGGTGCGATCTCGGCTCACCGCAACCTCCACCTCCATGTTCAAGTGATTCTCCTGCTTCAGCCTCCCGAGTAGTTGGGATTACAGGCATGCGCCACCACAGCCAGCTAATTTTGTATTTTTAGTAGAGACGGGGTTTCTCCATGTTGGTCAGGTTGGTCTCGAACTCCAAACCTCAGGTGATCCACCCGCCTTGGCTTCCCAAAGTGCTGGGATTACAGGCATGAGCCACCGTGCCCAGCCCAAGTTCAATATTTTTAAAGAAAACTCCTGTAGAGTACAGCAATACATTTGTAATAGTAATGATCATTTATATTTGCTATTTTAGTTTTCATAAAGATATAACTAAAATGATTAATCCATACTTCTTGAACATGTTAATCTATATATAATGAAAAGATACATAATAAAATGTATACATAATAAAATCTACACATAAAATCTACAGGCACAGGCAAAAATATTCCCTCTACTTCTGAAGAGGCTAAAAGTTCACATAAGATATCCATCCACATAAATAAGTAATAGAAACTGAGAATTGATCTATGCAAATATTACATTCCTTCTCTTCCCAAGGAATATTTCATTCAGAATGAACTTTAACTAGAACTTTTCAGAGGTTTATTGCAGAAATCATAGATAAGAAAAAAGGAAAAACTTCACTTACATTACAAATGCCCAGAAATAAGTTTTATTGTATTTTCACCTAACACAAGAGCATATTCTGTTTGTGTGTATGTATAACCTGTTTTTTTGTCACTTGGTATAGCAAAGTATATCTTTGCATGTCAACGTATATCTGTATCTATTGACATCCTCAATGGTTACGTATTCTTCCATTATGGATGCACTGAAAGTTGATCATAAAATCTGTTATGAATTCTTAATACACTGCTATTTTAAGTAATACTGAGAAAGACAGATATATCAATTTCCCAAAGATATTTCAGTACAATGGAATTGATGGGTAAAAGGCACATACATTTCTAAAATGTGGTTCTTAACACCAAAGTGTCTATTTGAAAAGTCACAGCAACTTAAACTTTAAGCAACTGTATAAGTACCGTTGCTCTTCATCCTCACACTTTGTGGATAGAAAACAGTATTTCAATCCTCTTTTAAATTCCTTCTCTCACCAGGAACACTAACTGTTTTCCTATGTGCATAGGTCACTGGAAGATCTGCAAAAAAGTACTTTGCCCAATTTTAAATTGAGCTTATTTTGTTTTCTTGTTGATTTGAAAGAATTATCTGTAAAATGAAAACACATTTCTTATCTACTATATATATAGTAAATATTTTGCACGTATGTTGTCTTTTGCTAATTTTTTTCTTATATACAGGGTGTTTTAATCTTTATTTTGCCAACACAACCTTCAGAATGCTTGCTTGTGAGGTTCTTAGAAGGTCTTTGTCAAGATAAAAATATATCTGTATAAATAGGCATTTGTGTTTTCTTCTGGTACTTTCCTCATTTTGAATATTTAAAACTTTTAAACTATATTCCATCAGAGAATTATTTTGTGACATAAACATCTAGTTTTCTCCAAATAGCAGGCATTTCATTTATTAATAATTCATCTTTTTCTAAGGAAGGAGACCACTACTACTACTGCTGCCTCCTCCCCACTACCTTGCCTAGTTCACAAGACAGGAGGAAAAAGAGAAAGCAAAAAGTTAGAAAGAAATAAAAGTAAAATAAATAGCCAGACAACCTTGGCACCACCATCCGGCCCTAGGAGTTAAAAAAAGGTAATAATAATAACATTAACCCCTGATCTAAACTACTTGTGTTATCTGTAAATTCCAGACACTGCATGAGAAAAGCATTGTAAAACTTTTTGTTCTGTTAGCTGATGCATGTAGCCCTCAGTCACGTTTCCCACACTTGCTCGATTTATCACGACCCTTTCACGTGGACCCCTTAAAGTTGTAAGCCTTTAAAAAGGCCAAGTATTTCTTTTTCGGGGAGCTTGGCTCTTCAGACACGAGTCTGCTGCCGCTCCCAGCCAAATAAAAAACCTCTTCCTTCTTTTTTTTTTTTTATTATTATTATTATACTTTAAGTTCTAGGGTACATGTGCATAATGTGCAGGTTTGTTACATATGTATACTTGTGCCGTGTTGGTGTGCTGCACCCATCAACTCGTCAGCACCCATTAACTCGTCATTTACATCAGGTATAACTCCCAATGAATCCCTCCCCCTCCCCCCCCATGATAGGCCCCGGTGTGTGATGTTCCCCCTCCCGAGTCCAAGTGATCTCATTGTTCAGTTCCCAC